ACTCACATACGTGCAGGCAATACACTCATACACATAAAATAAAAAAAATAATAAAATATTAAAAAAAAAAGAGTTTAAGGCCATCACCAGATACAAACACAAAACAACAAACACAAAAACAAAGTTTGATAAAAGAGAAAAAGAGCTTCAAGTGTGTACTAGACATAGAGAGTTGACAAGAAAACCCTTATGTTCTGGGTAAATTCCTGTTAAAAGACAATAAAGCAAAATAGCCTTGGTCTTTGACAGTACAATTCATTTCTACAACATATAACCCAACTGCAAGGAATTCATCAAGTACGAGCACACGGACAGGCTGAACGAAGGAGGAGGATAGTAAGTTCCAGGGTAGCTTGGGTAACAGTGACACTGTCTGAAAATAAAATGAAAGGGGCCCTGGTGCTGTAGCTCAGTGGTCCTGGGCGCCAACACCGCTTGCCTGATTTACCGTAAACAATGGCGAAAAACAGAGTAAACCAATTTGACTATGAGCTCTACAAAGGAGAACCGAGTAGTAGCCGACAGTCCCCCAAAACATTTAAAACCAAATCAAACTTTATAAAAGTTCCTCTAAATTCCTCCTTTCTATCCAGAGAAGCAAAATCAAGGGAACTGGAGGGGGTGAAGTTTTGCAAACAAGACACAGCGGCATTGCAACAGGTCACAAGACCGATGTCGTCTGGGACACACTATTATGTCATGTAAGCAGATGTCACACAGATACCAACAAAAGGTTACAATGTCAAAAAGCCCAGGAAAGTGGCACACGGACTGAACTACAACTGCAGCCAGTATCGGATGAGAAAAGAAGAGTAAATCCGGAGAAACAAAACGTGGAATCCGGGAGCGACATCCGAATAGTCGGTGGGATAACGAGGTCGATTCGAGGTCGGTTCTCGCTCGGGACCCGCCAGAGGACCGGAAGTGGAACAGCACCTCAGATCATTCTACCTGGGACAGAACACTTCACCATCACGTATTAACTACGTGGAGAACGTCTTCCAGAACGTGCACACCCAAACCCGGGTGTCGCAGGAATGATTTAGACAGAGTCGGTATGAACGCAACTCAACGCTAAGCAGGGGTGGCCCACAATCAGGCCGGAAAGTGGCTGAGCGGTTCCGGAGCGTGGGCTCGGGGTGCGCAGCTAGCCCCCGGGAGTTTCCTGGAATCACCAGAGTTCAGGAACCGGACAGTAAGGCTGCGAAGTCTACGCGTCCAGAGAGAACTTCAGGTCCCTGGAGCCGGACTCGTAGCCGCCCGGCTCTGCGGACTTGTCAGGCGGGCTGACTCCTCCTCAGCGCCGGCAGCCCCGGCAGCCCCGGCCAGGCCCGCTGCCCTCGCAGGCCCCCAAGCCCCGTACCTGCGTTCCCCGCGCCGCGGCCCCACTGGGCGGCGATACAGTCTCCCTGCGCAGGCTGGAGGGCCATCCCCGGGGGCCCGGGAAAGCCCGAGCCCCGGCTAGTGTCGGAGCCCTGAGCCGCCTTGGCCCCCACCCGACGCAGACCCCCGACTTGGCCAGGGCAGGTTGGTCTCCGTCGACCCGCAGCGCGCAGGCGTACAGGTCGCCACGCCCCCACGTGACCCGCCGCTGGAGGCGGGGCGTGCGCATGCGGGTTGAGGGGCCGGGAAGGGAGCGGCTGGTGGGTTGGTGACTAGCCCGTTGCGTTCTGGGCGGGTTTTTTGTTTTGTTTTGTTTTGTCTTGTTTTGTTTTGGCATCTCATTGCTATTATATATATATATATATATTTATTTTTTTTGTCTTTTTGAAGCAGGGTCTCTCTGTAGCCCCAGGTGTCCTGGAACTCACTATGTAGACCAGGCTGGCCTTGAACTCACAGAGATCCGCCTGCCTCTGCCTCCCAAGTGCTGGGACTACAGGCTGTGCACCACCACGCCTGGCTTTATTTATTTATTTTTAAATAATTTATTGAGCCTTTCATACAAGCAGTTACTTTGCTTAGGACGTCACCTCCCATCATACTTGGCTCCTTCCCGGAGTTAGGGGGTTGACAAGGAGCAGCGCTGTGCGTGGTGGTGATGATGGGGCAGAGTTGTGCACCACTGGTGACGTGCACAAACAAACTCTCCGGACTTTGAGCTCGCCTCACAGTGAGGCGCCCTTGTTTCTAACCAGCTGCACATTCACACCCAATCTCAGTGACTGACCCTCTTTATAGGGTCATCTTCAGAGCCTGCCTCACCTGCCAGATCCCCAGCCAGGATGCCCCTCGCGATGTTAGTGGCTTGGTGAGCCTCTACTCCAACCCCACCACTATTTGCTTTGTTCTTCTGGGACCTCTTGCCTGCAACTGTTGGCTCTCTTGGTTGAGGTCACCTTGGTCTACAGAGTGAATTCTAGTCCAGCTGGGGCTTTAGGAACACCCTGTCTCAAAAGAAAAACAAAATTCAAGAGGCATCTCTGGGGCAACTTTCAAACCAGTAAAGATTACTCAGGTTACTTTAAGAATTAATGTTTAATATATTAAATTTAGTAATTCCCAGACTTGGGGCTGGAGAGATGGCCCAAGGGTTGAGAGCTTTGGCTGCCCAGGTTTGGTTCCCAGCACCCACATGGTAGCTTACAACTTCCATAACTCCAGCTTCAAGGGATCCCATGCCTCTTATGGCCTCTGCCAGCTTTGCACAACATGGCGCAGTTACGTGCAAGCAAAACACTCATACACATAAAATAGGTAAATAATTTTAAAACTTCTTTAAAAAACAAATTCCTGGGACTGGAGAGATGACTCAGCGGTTAGGAGCACTCACTCAGTTCTCTTGCAGAGAACCTGAGTACAATTTCCAGCTCCCCATGGCTGTTAGAAACTGTCCTTAACTCCAGTTCCAGAGTACTCTGATGCCTTCTTCTGACCTCCACCCCATTGCACGACATGGTGCACTCACATGCATGCAGGCAATACACTCATACACATAAAATAAAAATAATAAAAATATTTTTAAAAAGAATGATGTGGGCCAGGTGTGGTGGAAAATATGTGTGTCATCATGGGCAACATGCTTTTGAAATCTGTCTGCACTGGGAAACAGTTTATTTTGATATATCACAGTGAAAGATTTATCGTCCTCTTTTTTTTTTTTTTTTTTTTTTAAAAAAAAAAAAAAAAAAAAAAAAAAAAAAAAGATGAATGAATGCTTGTGCTTAGCTCACTTTCCCCTTATTTTTTATTTTATTTGTTATTTTTATGTGTATTGCCTGCATGTGAGTGCACCGGCATTGTGCAATGCTGCAGAGGTCAGAAGAGGGCGTTGGATTCCCCTGGAACTGGAGTTAAGGTTTCATAGCTGCCATGTGGGTGCTGGGACTCAGGTCCTCTGCAAGAGTAATCAGTGCTCTTAACTGCTGAGCCATCTTTCCAGCCCCCAATAAAATGTATATATTTTTTTAAATCCCAAACTTTGGCAGATGAACAGAACTATCTGACACAATTTGAATTTGCTATAGCAAGAAAGTCTAACCTATTCCATGATAGGTAGGAATGTTGGAGAGAGTGGGTGGCGCGGATGGAGGAGGCACCGAGGCACAGATGGAATTCTCAGCGGGATACAGATTTATTTCGCACGGGGCACCTTTCCCTTGGGGAAGGGAAAGATGTCAGCCCACGGGTTGTGAGCTGGGACTTTATATATGGGGGCTTTAGGGTGTGGAAGGGGGGAATGTTTGGGGGAGAAATCGGAGGGGGAAGCAGAAAAAGCAGGTAGGATTAGGGTGTGGAAGTGTTTACTTTTTTCCTCTTAAGATAAGAGAAAAACAGCTTCTAAAATCTCTGGTTATCAGGTAGAATCTGCTTATCTTATCTTTGGAGGTCAAAGGAAAGGCAGGCTGCTTCTCAGCAGAGTTTGTTTCCCTTGACTCCAAAGGTCAAGGTGAGGTCCCTGTTGGGGAAGGGGGAAACTGCTGCTGTTTGGAACCCTAACATTCCAGTATTCTCTTCCCCATGAGACAACCGTTATATAGGTTCAAACAGTTAAAAAAAAAAAAATCCTAAACTTAGTTCTTCCTTACTTTCAACTGATGAAGTTTATAATGCTACTCCTAATCTCCCAGGTTGTAATAATCATTTCTTTGATCCTTTATTTAATAAACTCAGCTGATTAAAATTATGTGAACATTTGAAACATTTTGGGGGGGGTATTTTTTGAGACAGGGTCTCCCTGTAGCCCCAGCTGTCCTGGAACTCACTATGTAGACCAGGATAGCCTTGAACTCACAGAGATGTGCCTGCCTCTGCCTCCCAAGTGCTGGGATTAAAGGCGTGGGCCACCATGACTGGCTTATTATTTTTATTTTGTGTGTGAGTGTATTGCTTGCATGTAGGTAGGTGCAGTGCCCAAGGAGGTCAGAAGAGAGGGTCAGATCCCCTGGAACTGGAGTTATAGACAGTTGTTAGGTGCCATGTGGGTGCTGGAAATCAAACCCAGGTCCTCTGCAAGAGCAGTCAGTGCTATTAACTGCTGAGCCATCTCTCCAGCCCTGATCCCAGAGTTTTGTGCATGCTAGGCAAGCACTCTACCAACTGAGCTACATCCCCAGCCCTGTAATTATTGTAATGTGAAAAACTGAGTCATGAGGTCTTCCCCCCGCCCAGCCTATAGAGTCTATTTGTTGCACAGTAAGCCACACCTCATATCTTTTCAGCAAGAAAAATACTAAACTTGAATATGAAAAATAAAATGAACTGGGACACAAAATTTGCTTTAAAGTTTTCTTTTAGGGAGATGACATCACACTTAGATGCAACTGAGAAGAACACATTAGAGCTCTTTTGTTCTACACCTATTAATTCAGGAATCCACAGGGAGGGCTCCAGCAGCTCAGGCTCTTTTCTGTAAGTTCTTGCAAAGCCTGTTTCTCAGTGGAGCTGACATTACTGCTGAACCCAGGGTCCTTTCTCTTCAGCTTCCTTCTTTTTCTGATCATTTTTCTTCACCCATATCAGGAAGCTCTCTCAGCTCTTAGAGTGCTTCATATACTGACCATGCACATTAATTCTCTGGTAAGGGCTTGTTTACAAGAATGCCAACAGGCAACACTGAAGACTTCCAGTTTTGCCATGGTAACACTTTGGGACCTTTTGAACATGTTTTCTAAAGGCATAAAAGCACATGCCAGGGGCCTCTCCTCTTTCCCTTCTGTTTGACACTTTGGTGAATTGCTGGAAGACAGGTTCTAGCCAAAGACTGTGAGGTTGGTTGATTATTCTTTTTTAATTTTATTTTTTTGGTGTGGAGGATGAATCCAGGGCCTTGCACATGCTAGCCAGGTAAATGCTCTACCACCCAGCTCTGCTCACAACCCTCATGAAGTCTTTACAAAGTTAAGAGTACAACTTAAAATCACAAGTCTAAATGATTCAAATACACATTTGTCATTGAACCAGAAGAATAATCTGCTAAAATCCTTGAAGTTATCTATAACGTTTTTTCTTTCTTTCTTTCTTTTTTTTTTTTTTTTTTTTTTTTTTTTTTTTTTGAAAAGGGTCTCCCTTTGCCC